TTTTGTATGAAGACAAGTTAGTCACTTTGTGAAAGTCTGTAAAATATTGTAAATTTATTTCAATTTTTCAATAAAGACACATCATTGTGGTATGATTGCGGGATAAAAAAAAAAAAAAAAAAAAAAAATAGTTTATTAAACTATATAATATTTAGATATAATCTATTCTATACTACTTGTTAAATCTTATTTTATTGGGGTTTTATTTTTATTCTCTTATATAATTTGTATATCTATAAAACTTTATTTATTTAGAAAGTTGAATAAAGAAATTTTTGAATATCATAATAATTTAAATTTGATTTTGAAGAAAGATTGTTTATTTTTTAATAAATTGTATATTATATTAAAATTTCTTATTACTATTATATAATAACTTTATCCATATTTGTTTTTAGTAAGATTAATTGGATTTTTTTTATATTTATTTGTACTTTGATAGAAAATAAATTTGTATAATATAGATTTTTTTTCTTTTTATAAGTAAATTAGTAACAATTATGTATTCTTCTTTTTTTTTTTTATTGATGTTGCTTATTATTGATATTATAAAAATATTTATAAGTTTTTAATTATCCTCTACTCTTGTATCTTATTGATAAGACATTCTTATCTGTGATATTTCTGATATTATATATATCTATTTTTATTACTTTTTTAGAGATTTCATAATTTTCTTAAATTATTTCTTTTATTAATTTATTTTTATCTTTTTTACTTGACAATATTTGTTATTCTTCATGTAAAAATGTTGTTATATCTAAATTGTTATATTTTATTATATTGTCACCTTTTATCTATTGTTTTTTGTTCGTAATGTTAATAATAATTATAGCAATATAATACAAATATAATTAAAAAATCTTGTCCAATTATTTTTGACCCACACTGTAAATAAATTGTTTCTTACAATTTTTCATTTTTTTTTTTTTTTTACTTTGCATTCGCTGATATTTTTGACCTTCAAATAAATTTTTAATGTTAACTTTTATTTGCCTGATTCACTATTTGCAAAGTTACAGTTTGACCTTTTGAAAATTTGTAAAAGTTGCATCATACTGTATGCAGTATTTTAACAAGAATGTTAATATAAGACGTACAGTCGCCGCGGAAAGCCATGTCCGACTTTCCTAATGAAAATCAAGATGACAATCGGGCAACACTTTCCGTGGCGACTGTACGCACATCTGTATGTAAACTGTAAAACGTGTGTACTGCATACGGCTTTAAAAAAAAATAAAAAAAAAATAAAAATAAGATAATCTTATATTGAATAAATATTTAAATCAGTTTAATACAGTACATACATAAATAATCGTGACGATTATGGTAATGGTATTGATGAAATTTTTAAAAAAACGGAAAATGATGATGAGATAATAATGCAAGAATTGAATTAAAAATAATAGTGCGACGGCCACCAACAAAAAAAAAAAAAAAAAATTAAAACATGATGACGGTGAATAATAACCAATTGATTCTATTTAAGGCAATGTGTTGCCTAAAAACAAAGAGCTCGGATGTTTTGAATGCAAAAAGTAACACAACAGCCTCTAGCATATAATACAGATATTACATAATTAAAAGGTAAAAATAATAAGCAACAGTTGATTCGTTTTTTATTACAGATGGTAGGCACGATAATCTGACATCGTTCATTCGGTCGAGGTGTCGTATGTGAAGTATTCCGTACCTCGTTAAAAAATGCTGCGGCATGTATGATTCCTTCTCTAAGACCTAGTGATTAAACGCTACACCTGCAAATATATTTTTTATTTGGACACCGCTGTCCGTTTAAAAATTATCATCCAGATGAGAAGTAGATATTAGTAATAACTCACGCGTGAGGTATGTTGAATAGGAAGGTATGAGAAATAACATACACAGAAAATTATTGAGACAACGAATGGCAAGTATCATTCGACTTTGAACTCCTAGTTATCCTCCGAAACATCCCTCCCATGCTATTTAATTGATTATCATGTAAAAAATTATGTTTGTGAAATTGATTCCTCAAGATTGATGGACTCAACTTACCGGGAAAGCCGCAAGCCGAAGAGATGATAAAGTAGATGATGAGCTAGTAATTCAATGGGAAAAAATTAGGAATTTCAATTTTTTTCTAAAAACATGTCAAACCATATCTGCAAATATCCCGAGACTTACAATAACAACGAACACCAGAAGGATCAGTAGCTTGGTATTCTTCCACCACATCGATCTCTATTCGATTACAGAGAATGCGTTTTGTAGGTGGATTGGCAAAAATAGAAAGTTACACACCGATGGAAGACGCGTTATGCATACCTTCAATGCAGTACTGCGTTTCTTAAAAGCAAACGCCTGCTGAGTGAGGTTATCTGTCTTGTTCACCAATAACTCAATTCTTTCTCCGCGTTCCAGTACACGCTCTGTTGTGCAAATAAAGTAAAACAAAGTGAGTATGAAAAACTCGGAAAAACAAAACACAAGATTATGTTCGTTCACCAACCGATGTTATGGACCATGACATCTTTGACCTGTTCGATCTCCCCGTGAACCTTCTTGAGTCTATCGGCCTCGGGATTGGAGAAATATTCCTAGACAAATAAATCAATAACGAAAAATAAGATCAAAAGAGAATCATTGGAGGTTATGAGTGGCAAATAAAGGTTGACCTACCATTTGCCTACCAATGATTTTAGAAAATTCATTCATTCCATAAGGAAGTGCTGTTTCTACTCCGTCTTTGGTATAACGTTCTAGGAACCGTTCTTTGATGTCTTGCAAAAAAGAAAACGGGACCCGTCGGCCAAAGGAGTCGTCAGCCATGCACATGTAGGTAATTCCATCTTCACAAATGTAGTGGAAGAGGTATCTACAATATGCAAGAAGAAAAGATTGCGTCAGGTCCGACGCCCCTTTTATAAATTGTGATCTCAAAATTCGTTCTACCTGTCGTATACGTATGTTAATTTGGAATTGTTTGGTGGAATCTTTTCTAAAATTGCTTGAGTCACTGTTGGTAGGTGGAGGAGACGAGTTGAGAAAATGCAAATGGGCAAACGCAAAGACTAAATAGAAGGAAGGAAGGATAACTTATTCAACCTTGAGGAAAGTTTCCAGAAGAACCAGTATACTCTGCCAAGATTACAGGGCCGCGGGCGACCAACCCGTAAATAAGAGACATTCTTGCAAGAAACCGTCGTTAGGTGAAAAAGCTATAGTGATTTGGAGTATATGTAACGTATGCGAGTGATTATATTGAAAAATTATGATCAGCCAGTAACATGACAGAACCATAATAATAAAAGGTCACCAGACTTCTTTGGAACCAGATTTTATTATTCACGTCTATAGTCATGAATTCTTCTAAGCACGCTCAAGCTCTGGCCGAGCTAGATTCACCCGATCCCGCTGTGCGTGTAAAAGCGTTGAGGTTTATAAAAAATAACATCATCGGGAACAAGACAAAGAAGGATCTATACATTAGCCTAAACATTATTCCCAAGTAGGAGATTTCTACTGTGCACGTCAACCAAACGTTTCAAGGATTTACCTTATTAACCACAACTTCTGATCAATTTGATGTTCAGGCTTGTCTCCTTTTTCAAAAACAAAGAGGGCATTGACCCTCAAGTGCAAATACAAGCCGCGATCGTACTAGGAAGTTTTGCATATGGTTTGAACTTGTTTTGTTAATTCAAGATTCCTGCTGTGTCTGTCGACTTTAAGAGATTTGTCGTGAAACATTTTGTCTTTAAAAACAAAAACAAGGTGGTGAAAACAATGTCGCCGAGTTAGCCAAACATGGTGCCGTCAAACCTTTATTGGAATGCATATCCATAAAGAATGATCCTCGACTAATTGAAGCTGCCGCCCGGGCATTGAAGGCCATTTACAAGTGTCCTAAGGCCGACAAGAATGATATATTTCAGGTTCATCTCATGTGCATTGATGTCGACTTCAGGATGGTGTAATAATGTTCATACGTCCATATATTTATTTTAAAGGATGCGCACCTTCGGGATCTCATCATCCTCCTTAACCCCGATTCACTCAATCCCAAAACAGACCGCGAGAAGATCGCGTCCGTACACACATCCGAGTTGGCCGCAACTATAATTGCGCGCTGCTGCGAGACCAATGAACAACAAATTCAAATTGAAAGCGCCGGGGCTTTTCCGGCCTTGGTGAAATTATTGGTTTGTGGCTTTTCCAAGGCTCAGGAGGCTGCTCTGGATGCCCTGGCTTACCTGTGTCGTGAAAATTCGGAATTTGGCAAGGCCATTGTCGAAACAAAATGTAGATATTATTTGGCTATTTATTTTTCAAGGCTTTTGCCGGCCGGTTATTGATTAAATTATTTATTCAAAAATGAATTTTTAGCCGAAACGAACGATAGTCCCGTCAGAATCATGTTAAATCTAATCCGTGACAAGTCACCAACCATGCAATTGGTGTCAGCCAAATGGTATGCTTTTTTACGCACTCATTCATCCACTTATCCTACAATGACCAAGTTATAATTATCCTATCCTATCTCCCTTCGCAGCTTAACCCACCTCAGTCGCGCAAACGCAATCACGGAGTACTTTAACGATATCACATTAACGGTGCTGCCGACATTGGTAAAATTGCTTGATGAGAAGGGTCCGGTTCGCGAAGAAGCCCCGCAAGTCTTGGGTAACATTTACAAAACCGTATGATGTGTTATTATTATTCGATTATGCTTCCAGGTGATGATAATAATGGCATGCAATATATTCTTTTTTTTTCGTAAAGCTTATTTGATCCGCGATAATGAAGAATTACAAAAGGCCGCTTGTGATTCGGGGGCCATCCTAAAACTGGCTGACTTTGTAACTCACGTTGCCGATCAAGAAAATTCTTATTATGATCCCCTCGGCGACAGCGATAAATTGAAAGAGGTAATGTCATTTGATGACCGCGGGTTTCGAAATTGTCTTGCGATCGAACAGAAATTTTAGACCCCATATTTCCCTACTCACATGAATTAGAATGCTCTGATGGCACTTGCGGCCATAAGTTCGCTGACCGACGACGGGAGAAAGCTGGTAAAATACGGGACCTTGGAAAAAAATTTTTTTTTTTTTTTTTTGATCATTTGTTTATGCTGTCATAATTTGCGGCTTGACAGTTTGATTTCTTGTGTAGGTGGTTGATGCCAAAATTGTTCCGCATATTGTGAAGGCAATGTCACATCGATCCTATGGGATTCGAGCCGCGGCATGTCAATGTACCCGGAGCCTCTCAAGGTCGGTTAACATATTGAGGACAAATCTTGTGGATGCCGGAATTGCGATCCCATTATTTAAGGTAACAAAAATTTGTCCGACTTTTTTCGTTACACTCCAATTGAGAAAATGTCGCGAACCAATAAATGACACTCGTTGTTTTTTTTTCTAAGCTCTTGTCGGATGAATCCACCGATGTCCAGAAAACTGCGTGCGCCACTATATGCAACATCGTGTTAGAATTCTCACCGATGAAAAGGGTATAATTTTCATTTTTTTTTTTTTTTTTTTCTTCGTCTACATTCTTCACATTCGTTCTTCTTTCGTTTGACACCTTTCGTCTGACACCTTGATTTTACAAATCGATCCGATTTTCTGATGTAGATAATAATTGAGCAGGGAGGAATAGAAAAGTTGGTGGAGTTGGTTCAATCTTCGGATAACACGCTGAGACTCAATGCCATCTGGGCCCTAAAAAATTTAGTCTATAATGCTGAGTCAGAGATCAAAGATTCAGTAATGAAAGCACTAACATATCCAACACTGGAAACGTAAGCAAGAGGCGCGAATAAATTAATCTTCAAGTTTTAGCTCATAATCTAATGCGATCGATACTTGTGATTGTAATCCAACCATCAGATTAATTATGGATCAAGAAGTTGATATACAAGAAAAGGCGTTGAATCTATTGAGGAATTTAGCTTGTACAAAACCATATGTATGAAAAATCCAATTTATCAAAATGTTATTGCATGCATTTGAATTGTTCGGTGTTCGTAATGTTTACAACTCGTCAACAGGATATTGAAGAGGTTTTTAAAGGATTGGGCGAAAATTGCTTGATGGATATCATTGAAAATAAACTTTGTTCTTGGAATGAAGAGATCATTAAACAGGTATGGAAACGAATTCGTTCGAACTACATTATATAGGGAGTGCCCACACCCCATCGACTAAGAAGTAGGTGACATTAAGTGATACAGAGAATTAATATATACATATAATGTATTTTTTTTTTTTTTTGTTTAATTGGTTTATTTTTTTTCAGATTCTGTACGTGATCAATAATATTGCAACGGGTAATGATAATCATAAAAAAGTCATAATGAGCAGGTCCAACATTTTGACACACATCAAACATTATATGAGTCACAAGAATCCGGACATACGCGTCATCTCAGTATGGTGCCTCATAAATTTGGCGTGGACGGAAGATAAGCACAACAGTGAGTTTTTAATTTTGTTTCCTCGCGTCAGATAATCTTATTAGCTGATGGCTTTGTCTCAATGTACCAGGCTCCCCTGGACGCATCCGAGAGTTGCGCCAGTTAGGCTTTGAGGATATGGTAAAAAGCATGATGAATGATGAGAATTTGGATGTGCGCGAAAAGGCCAAGACCGCGTTGTCACAATTTTCTCAGGTGTAGATTTCGAATTTCGACGTTTGGTGGTTGTGTACTGGCTGGATGGAATGATAGTTACCTGCCCGCATGATTGAAAGTGAAACCATCGTCTAGGTTTATGCTTGCATATTCCAATTTCAAAGTTTACCATGTCATGCATTATTGACCCTTGCATATCTCTCCTCATACTCGATCGAGCATTTTGTTTGGTAACCTTTGTGGTGTAGCATTCTTCTCTTTGAAAAATAATGTTTTTTTTTTTTCCTTTCCTAACAAAAAAAAAATAAAAATTTACGCCGGATCACGTATTTCTGATTGGCTCCCCCGTTCCCATGGCTTTTCGGACACCGGTGACACGTGCTAGTAATATTAGAATATAATAATTATCTTTTTTTTTTTTTCCCTTTCTATATAAACGACGCTGTAATTCCAATTTCCAAATTCGAAGAATAAATATGTATTATTATAACCTAAACACTTTAAATATGGATTTGATCATTTTGCAGGTTAAATTATTTCCTGAAATGTGCTGTGTATGAATGTTATCTAATGACCTTGCTTTATTTTATACTCTAAAATTTATTCAATCTGTGAATTTTAAAATTAATTAAATATCAAATTATACAGTATCTAAATTTTCTAATGAATTCCTTGAATAAATAATACTGTATTTGCTCAAAGTTATTATGCTGTGATTGCTTTCTTGCAAGTAATCGTTCGGTTCTATCAAAGGTACACTGTAAATGATCAATTGTTTCAAGAATTTAAAGAATTTACCAACATCATTCCGTTTTTATTTTAAAAAAAAAACGTTTATTTAATTTAATCGCGAGAAAGGGTGGTCACACGTAACTTTGCCAAAAAATTTTTGGTCGGGGTTTGAGTTTGTGTGACCCCGCTGTAACATAAGAAGTAGGCACATGCGTTTATCACACTTTTCCCATCTCTCCATAAAATGATCAACGGATAAGAATTAATCATCGATTCCTCACAAGAGATGGATTCCGAAGAGGTATGTTTAATACCTTCAATATCAACGTGTTGCTCGACATTCTTATCTCCACATTTTCTCGGTTGAAATTCGCGTGACAATGTGCAGGCACAGGCAAAAAGATACCGAGAGTTCGAGGCCGCAATTCAAAAGCTGAATGACTTGGTAAAAAGTTCTCTTTGAATTCAATCCCGTCACCCTTTCTGCAAAGAATATTAAAAATCTGTTTCGTGAATCTAGGTTTCTGAAACACATGAATTCCCTTTTTACATACACTCCATTCATATCAATGGCATCAAAAGGACGCGTAAATCGCTCTTCGAATCTGTAACTTATCCTGCGCTCCAAGCTCGAACGCTTGGTGCAATTATTGAGGAAGTGGGAAAAGCTACAGACAAATTACATCGACTCGATATTTTTCAAAATTTAGATGTATTACTTGATACCAGCGGTGACCCGTTGGCTCAACGTGGCGCACTCGATGTCATCTTATCGGTGGAGGAAAAAAGTCGATTTTGGATCAAAACAGGGACCGAGATTGGAAATGATGCTGGCAGCGCGGTAAGCGGCGTCTTCAGAATTCAAATTCGGAAAACATCGATGAAAACAACACGCGAGCAAAAAATTTTCATTTCAACACAACGCAGAATATTTCTTTAAATATCCGAAATGTGTTTGGCGGTGCAGAAACCCTGGAAGCCTATATGTCTGCCGGTACCCAAACTTCACACGTGTTTGAGGTATTTATTGTCATTGTTAATGCTCGTCTCCCGTAATCTTTCAAAGGCCGAGTTATTGACGTCAAAATCGAAATAGTTTTGTTTAGCAAAGCCAATTAATGGAAATCCGGATTCCAAGATTGACATCACCGCCTTTAGCTTAACCAGAAACAATCAAATCTACAGTTCTCATGACGAGATATTGCGTGGTGTTGCATTGAGGTGGAGGGTATGTCATCATGCCAATTATCCGATTTCAAAGCAATTCCTACATTTTCATAAGTGAGATCGGGAAGCATTAGTTAACTCGGAAATTATTTGATCCATCCGAAGGGGATTTCTCGTCTTGGATTCCACGAGCTGAGTTATGGTTCAACTTGGAGGCAAATTTGTAATGTAGCTCAAGATGCTTCATTAAGGTGAAGATCCGTTTTTTTTTTTTTTTTTTTTCTTTTTTATTTTTTGCTTATGATCAATGGGTGGTAATGATTTTTCTGAACCCCACCCCAGCATACGCGAGTCAGCGGGTCATTCCTTAAAGTCATCCCTCACGCATAATTGGGTGCGAGATCGACGTGACGATGTCATGTTGCCGTCCCGTGGATACTACATGAGAGTGTTTCAGGTTATTATCATTATTTTTCATGCTGTATTATTGCGTTGGGATTTATTCTAATTGCAATATAATAACAAAATTCAACAGGAAATTGCTGGGTTTGGTGGTGACGTCTTCTTTCTCAAGAACGAAATGGAAGGTCAAATGAACTTCTCGCTTGGAAAAGGCTTTGTGAGTTTCGCTCGCCGCATCCTTCGTTGCATCGTTTAGAATAAATTATAATCGCTCATTTAAATAGATTCTCAGCACATCTTTGAGAAATGGACTGCTATATCCGATGAAGAGCGGCCAATCAAAAATCAGCGATCGATTTTTCCTCGGAGGCGCTCAGTCAGTACGAGGATTCAAGTTGAATGGCATTGGTCCCAGGGACAAAAGTAACTACACAACTTACTAACAATTTATCCATATTGCATAAGATGAATCATCTTTTCACAACTCTGGTCTATTATAATTTAGAGGATTCCTTAGGCGGTGATGTTTACGTGGCTGGCGGTTTGAGCCTTTTTACGCCCCTGCCCAGGTTACACGAACATCCGATAAAAGGGCATTTATTTTTAAATGGCGGAAGCTTGATTAAAATCAATTCATGTAAGTGTTTTCGAGATGAGAGCTCACGAATGATGATGTACCATTCTGAAATATTCTTCACCACCACCACTAGCTCGACATTTAATCGACAACATCAAGAATGTTAAAAGAACGCCTTGCGTGTCTACAGGTGTAGGGATTGTTTACCGAAGTAGCATTTTGAGGTTTGAAGTGAATTTCTGCTTACCGTTGATAACAACCACAACTGATAAGTTAAAAAAAGGATTGCAGCTGGGATTGGGGTTTAATTTCTGGTGAATTAATAATTTACTGTATATAGCATACATATACATCGATAAATAAACGTTAAAATTTTTTTGTACCAATAAATGTATGTACTTGCGAACAAATTGTTTTAGCACACTTTTTTCTTGGTGTTACCCTTTCCATGATTAGGCGTCCAAGGACCTAAACTGTCGTTGGCGTAAAAGTCCATCGGATATATGGATTGCCACTCGACCGCATCTAGCGCAACAGATGCTTCGTATGGAGTAAGCAGTGGCTTGGGGAAAGCATAACCCCAATCAATGGATAGTCGAGGGCACGCTATTTGAATCCAACTGAGGTCAAAAAAAAATAATTTTTTACATTAGGATTTGTTGAGTCATAAAATAACAATAATAATGATAGGTCATTAGTTACGCGTCGATGTCCTGGAATTGTTTCAATTTGTCTGGAAATATCTCCGAAAGTAGAACGCAAACATAATCCAGTCCACGGGATCGAATTTTTTCCTCGAGATACTTGATTTAAAACAATAATAGACAATCTATGTCTCAACTCTTAAAATTGAATTTCCACCTGTGCAGTCTTTCTTTAAATTGATTACCTCCATCACCTTTGGACTACCTTGCCTACCCAAGGTTCCTAATATGAGACCGAACTTTTTTGCATTCTTGGCCAGATTAATTGCGTGCTTTCGCAAGGCATGCATGTCCACGTGGTCGTACCGTTCTCGGGTGAATTTTTTTGAATAAGGGTCATAACTTTTTTGGAATTATTGTTGTTTCTTGAATCAGTACACTCGTGGAGAACAAAGTCCACCCTCTATGCGTAAGAAAGGGGAATGTAATTACCGGAATGCCGGAACATGGGGATTGGCGATCATTATTGATTCCAAGTGGAATCTCCCGTCACCCAGGTAACTAGTGGAAAGCGGGAGTCGAGAATGGTTCCAAAATTCAAATTTAACCGTTACCCATCCCCTCGCCTCGTTCATACTTACATCAAAGCGTCTTGCTCTCCCAACTTTGGTGAAGTGCATCCTAGGATCTCGCCGGGAGACAAAGGTTTCGCTTGAGGAACGTTTAAGGAATATTCATTTTCTAGGGATTTTTGCGCAGACTTTGGAAGAATTAAACGTGTTCGTCCACTTTTTTTTCAAAATCTATAATCGAATTTACCTGAATGGAGGATACAAATTGAACTGTACCCACGATCGTCAATTTTTTCCCACGTTCGAAATTCATTCTTACGGTGTTTAAAAAGTGCTCGATGTCAATCCCAATGTCCACGAACACATACATAGTCTTGACAGTCGTGACGTTTACCGGAACTGCACGTTTTATCGCGCATGTCAATTTAAACCAGCAAGATCGTGCTTAAAAGATTATTAAATGAACGGAAACAATATTAACCCAAACAACTATGACCGTAGTGGACCATGAAGTCACATCCCAATGCAACGGCAGTAAAGTCATCCACGCAGCATGCTCCGTATGTAACATCACCCATTATAAGTGTCTCAACATTGCAATGTCTTTCGTTTATGGTTTTCAAAGGACGGAGAGTCTGTTAGCGATTTATGTTAAACTGCACATTCTCCGAATGAATTCATTGTATAACCTTTCTAATATGTCTGCAATTGTGCATGCAAACATTAGGAGACCTTCCGGAAACTGCAACGCAACTAATAATTCATAATGATGAAATCATTATGAATCGGTCAAAGTGAAAGTGACACACGATCTCGACGTAACTCTTGTAACGAGGATACTGTGGAAATAAAACAAAACAAACCCTTCTTCGCGTCAGAACGTTTGATATGCCACACCGTCTTATGAATCTCGAAATTGTAATTCGACGGGAGCTATCGATCATTGAGTTAGCGAAAAAGTACGCGCGAATTGCATACGTTAACGATCTTCACTCAAGAAATCGGATCCATTGATCCGAGGAAAAAAAAAAAAAAACCTGCTCAATTGCTTTATTCAATAAAGGATCATTTAAAATCACTGCAGGAATTTGTGTCGCAACTCTATTCGACGATTTAGCTAGTAAACAAAGGTGATTGTAATCATGTTCAAAGATTTGTTCTAAAAAATTTGAGGCAACGATTAAAGCTTTCAAACCTTTAACCACCACATTATCCTCTATATTACCAACTTGAATTTTGCTGTCATCTATCTTTCTCGCTTCAGCCCTTCCCACGAAACGCTTTCGAGGCTTTTTGCTCGTCGATGCAGCTTCTTCGGACATTTCCTCTTTGCGCATACGTTTGATCGGAATCTTTTATATACGTACAAACCATCCGATCCTTGTGTAACATCAAATTAGTCTTGTACGTAGGATAATTTTTTTTTTTTTTAATTTTTGTTGACTAAACTTTTAAGCCAAGTCGACCTAAGATCACAGATTTAACAAAATCATGGCACCGACGAGCCAAACGAATATTGCAAAGTAATATTGCGCAAGGAGGAATTTACCGGTCTAGACTTTCTTGAAACCACAGAAGAAAATCCAACGCTATGGTTTGAAAGGAAAGGAGGACCAACAACAAATCTTGTCGTCTATCTAAAAAATATAGATATACTTGAGATCTATTATGGGTTTTTACCCTTTTATAGAAAGTACTAAATCAAACACTTTGTGAGAGAAAAGTATAATATCGAAATTCCTATATTATCAATCAACCTCATCTCGATCATGGCCATGCTTTCATTAATTAACAGCACTTCTGCATTGACGAAGAATGGGTAGTGCTCTGTTAATTGTTTATTAATTATGAGCACAAGCTTGAAGCTTTGGATTCATAGTAAACGTGAAAATAAGAGATTTTGGATACCTCACTTGTATATGAAAGAAGAAATTGTCGCTGAAAGCGATTCACGAAAAATTATTATCTGGATATCTGGATTCTTAAATCTCACGGAGCATTTTATCACTTACTTAAACGATTACCATGAGTGTAGTGTTCACATTTGCATTAGGAACTTTGAATAAGTAATAGAAATCAACTTACAGTATATATAGGAAAAACAGACCACCATAGTTACAAGCACCATTGACGTTACATCCACCGAAACTGACACCACGACACCACCTACTTCACGAGCACTATTGACTTTACATCTGTCGAAACTGACACTAATGACACACTATCATAGTCATTGACTTCACGAGCACCATTGACGTTACATCCACCAAGACCAACAAACACCATAATCATTAATCTTGAAAAAGCCATTTCTCTTGAAATAATTGATGGTGAATTGTTGTATTTCACTAAAGTCATTTGGGTACTGATAGAGAAGAAAGTATTATTCATATACACAGTGTTTCGATGATAAATACAAATAACGGATTCCAAAAAATGGTTGGAAGATAAATATTCAGATAGTAAATGGATTTGGGAATAAGAAGAAAAAAGAATAATTCATTTAAAAAATGCATCCCGAGTCCGTTACGTAAATTTTGTAAATTGTAAACATGCAACATGCGTTCGCTGTTTATAAAAATCAATAGCTTATAATTCAATGAATTCCTTTTTATTAATATGAAATTTTAGCAATTATAACAAAAAACGTGCATAGTACGTTGCAAGACTTTTTGAAGTTTTTGTAAAATCCATATTATACTTACGGTATAAATAAACCAGTGAAATTACAGTGCATAGATTTCATAAAATTTATTTTATTTTTTTTTAAGAAATAATTAACATAAACGAAATGTATTCCAAAGTTTGATTTAGAAACAAAATTTTATTTTTTATAGGATTTGAATTCTATTTTTAATTCCTAAATTTATGGCGAATATTTAATATATCAATTATTTGTCGATTATTGAATTATGAAGGTGAAACTAGATAAAGAAAAAAGAAGATAATGAGGAAAATAAAAGTTTAAAATTTGGTAGTAACAAAAAAAAATAATAAATTACTTTGATCCATTTTAATAAATATTTATTTAAATAATATTAAATTTGATAAATTTTTTATATAATAACAAATCTATTATAAATATATGTTTTGTTTTTAATTTAATTTTTTGTCAGGTTAGTTTTTTTTTTTTTTTGAGTACCCATAGCCAGGCAAGATTGTCAGTTTATTAATCAATTGAAAACATAAATACATTTTCATTTGAGCAGCATAATACATACTATAGCTAAACTATTATTCTAATCTAACTAACTTGTCATAAGCATAAAAGCCTCTAAGTTCAACTTTTGGGAACAACATTTTATTCTACAATATCTTTAGGTGAAAACCCTCCTAGTTCACTGCATCATTGCTAACAGGTTGTCATTGTTATATGTCATATCAAGTCACTGAAATACAGGAAATTACAAAAGGATGAGTTAAAAAAGGGAAGGGGGAATATCTAAAAATATCTAAACAGACAATAAAAAAAATGAAAGAGTAAAAATTGAAAAAAATATTTTCAACTTTTCCAAAGACCTATTTCTCAAAACCTCTTAACAATAAAAAATGTCTGATTGAGATATTCTTTCTTTTCCTGACCATCTGAGGAACTTATCCATTTTTTATCATGATTTTTTTCTTGTATACTGTCTAAGAAGACTTATTGTTTAGTGGAAACCTTTACTTCTAGGACATACTTGATTCCAACTTTCTTTGAGCAATGATTTTTTATTTATCTGTAATAGAGAGATGACTTATGATAGACCCCAGGTTCTTATGTGATCTAGTAAGGACTAGATTATATTGTTACAATATGATATCTTTTAACAATCATACTTAATTAAAGGAATTTTATTGATATACATTTTTTATTATCAAAAAAACCAGATTCCTCAATAATTCTTTTACTTTGTAATGGTGAAAGGGTTTTAAGAGTAATAGGAATTCTTATCGATTGCAATATCTTTTAACAACTTCTGGAAAAATGTATTTTCAATTGTAATTAAAGAGTTGAAGCTTAGTATGGACTAGAAATCATTCAGTCTTATTACCTGACTGGGATAAAAAGGAGACCTTGGTCTTGAACTTTGCCTGATTGGAATGATAGAAAAAAAAGATCTTAGCTTGAATAAATAGCAACTTTTTCATCACCTAAGGACTTGTTACTCATATCATATTGATCACACAAAACTTGATCTATAGATTAATCCAATTGAAGAAGTGAAACAAATATAGAACATTAATTAACTCTTTCTATTACCAATGATATTATTGGAATATATGAGGTAACCAATAGAAGCTTATTTATATTTAGTTACTAACATGTTTTGTATCAACCAATCAGATACCAGATAACAGTGTGCTATCAGAAATTTAGAGTCAAACTAAGATAGGCAAAATCCCTCAAGAAAACTATAAAAAACAGTAGATACTTTAAGAGGATACAAGACAATATGTGAGAAGGTAGATAATAAATCTTTATTTGCCAACAAAAAAAAAAAAACCTCTATTTCTTATTACTTCTAGTCTTGTAAAGTAACACTCCACTTGTCAATTCTTTTACTTCCCAAAATCTTTTTGCCCTTAGTAAAAAAAGTACATACTTGAGTCTTTTCAAGCCATTAGAAACTCAAGTTTTATTCAAAGAAGTTTATAAACAAATAAGTAAGGGTAGAAGAGATATATGAAAACAAGCTTCAAGTTGTTTTAATTAAAGTATAAAGACTTTTTTAGTAAAAAAGTATAAAACTTCTTGTAAATATCTTTTTGTGTGTAGTCAGAGAATCAGTAGAAAGAGTCATTATATTTTTGTTAAATTAGTTATGTATACTTTATTAAATAAAAATAAGTTATATATACCATATATAAAAAGAATATATAACATTAAAGCTAAATCTATAACTAATTCACTTATCTTTTTTAGTTTTTGGCTTTAAGTACAATTTTGAAAGTAATTTGTTACTTTACTTATAATTTAAATAAATTTTTTTTTTTTTTTTTTTTTTAACCTACAATCATGCCACAATGGCTTGTCTTTATTGAAAAATTGAAGTAACTCTACAATATTTTACAGACTTTCACAAAGTG